AATATAATATAAAAATATAATAAAAAATTTTGATATTAAATATTTAAAATATGATAATGACCTTATCCAATACTAACCTTTAAACATTAATTAATCCCTTGTTCCGTTTAAAGAATGTTGGATACTACTATCAAATAAAAACAACCATTAAAAGCTCGACCAAATGTTTAACGCCTCTTTTGCAGGTTTGTAACTTGTAAGCGACTCGGTTGGATTAATTTTGGGCAGTAGTTTTCAAACTGTAGGTGTGAAAGGAATCTCTCAAGGAAAATTTTCAATAAAGACAATCATTAAACCCAACAATTCCTCCATAAAATATAAAACAATTTTTAATACTTTTTTTAATCCTGGCAGCCTAACTTACCTCTAGCGCAACAATTCTCTCTCATCGATTATTGATAATTAATAAGGGTTTTTTTAATATATTATACATTAAGAGTATAATTATAATATTTTTATATTAATTATTATTTTCTTTAATAATATCATATAAATTATTTTAATTAAACATTTATTTAAATAAAAATTAATTTTTATTTTTTAATAATGTTTAACGTAAAAATACAATAATTATATTATTAACCTATGTTATATGAACACATGTTATAAAAATATAATTAATAATTAGAATTGCTTACTTGTTTCTTATGATAACAATTAAATCTCATTAAATGTAGTATTATTAATTAATTTTATATAAAATTTATATAAAATTTAATTAAAATAAAATATATAATATAATATAATATTTATATTCAAAATTTATAAAGTATGATTTATATAAAAATAAAAATTTGTATAATATTATTTATAAATATTATAATTAATAAAACTTAACTTATATCTAAGAGACATAATTAGGTAAATTCTTAATAATTAATCAGAAAATAAAAAGAATAATGTATTAATCACTTAATCAATCTACATATTTTCCTTTGAGAGTGGAAGTAGAAAATTACAACAGTAATACTATATTGGTGTTGATCAACTTGATCTGCTTTGTGAGTTATTTGGAGAATGTAAGGCGGTAAAAACCTAGCACGTGCGTTACATGTACACTTCGATGGGTCATGGGTGAAAAAAAAACTCGTATGTGGGTCTCATGTATACTTCTGTGGCATGGACAAGAAATTTCTCTCTCAATGCAGTTGCTTTTTCTTTTTCCTTTTTTTTTTCTTATCGAGAGTGGATGCCACATCACAGATGAAGACAAGGTGCATTATTGTCCTTGGATTGGGAAAATGAAAACGTAAGCAGTGACGCAGAAGTTTTCCTTAAATTAAATATTTGATTCTCCGAGATCTCTCCTTTCATCCCCATAATATGATAAAAACATTTATAAAAATTTATCTTTATTAAAAAAATAATAATTTTATGCATCAGTTGAAGTCTTACTCGTCTTTCCCCATTCCCCAAAATTAGCTGTCATCGACAAAAACGGATGTAATAAAGCTCTTTTTGTGATCCTCAATTGCCATAGAGAGTTTTTACCATAAAAAAAAAAAAAAATTATTGCCATAGAGAGCCGGTATAATAATAACCGTATTGAAACTACTTCACGATGCTTCGGCTTAACGTCATCTATCATCCTTTTACTATTAAAAAAAATTCAATTTAAACCTCTTACTTTTAACTCGGCTCATGTCCTCCCTCTACTATTAATTAACTACACATGTCCTCCCTTTATCATTGAAAAATGTATCAATGTCATCACTTCGTCCAAGTTCCGTCCAATTTTGGGTAATGAACAGTTTGTTGCCGTTAACTACCAAACAGTCAAACATCCAACCCCTTTTTATTTTTTATTTTTTATGGGCTTTGGTGGGCCCCATCCCGCCCCCAAGATGGGTCGAGTTCTGGAGCAACGCGGTTGTTGATCGACACCAGAGAAACTCGTCGTGGTCTTCGAGCTCGTCACCGAAAAGGAACTTTGAGATGCCAAGGTCCGAAATTCCCATATGGGTCCAAGAGTACATTGAACAAATCGAATTGGTTCTAAGAGAGGGTGGGTGGGACGAGACTGATATTTCAGACATCGTCGACGTCTCAGCTTCCGGATTTTTCAGAGAGGAAATGGTTTTGCTGGACAATCAAACCATCCTCGATGCGCTTCTTCTCAAAGCCAGTTGGTTTTCAGAGTCTCTTAGAAAAGCGGGTTGGAGCTACGAAGAGGTCTCGGACGCCTTAGGGTTTAATTTCTGGCTGAGGAAGGAGAGAAAACCAGCGAAGAAGTTATCGCCTAAACTCAGCGAAAAAATTGGAAAACTGGTCGAATCGGTTTCCCGATGATAGTACACGTCGAGATTCCTTTTTCTTTTCTTTTTATTTTTTATTTTTTAAAACAAATTTCCCAAGTTCTTGGATTTAAGTTTTTCCCTATTTTTGTAGATTAATTATAAAAAATATATATATGCTCACTTTTAATTAAATATTAATAAAATTAAAATTAATTTTTAAAGTAAATTAATGATAAAAAATATAATAAATATATTATAAAAATACAATAAATGTATTCTTTATTTTGAGATATAGATTTAAAATTTTCTTTATTTAATGATTAGAGTGTTTGAATTAGTTTATACTTATTTTAAAATTAATTCTTCTCAGATGTAATTAAGATAGATTATTTATGTCGAAACTATAACAAATTTAAGAGAAAGGCAAAAGTTATAAATTTTGACGTAAAATTATTTGTTGAAATGTCTTATTGTAAAAAAAATATTGATGTAATTTATTATCTTAAATTTTTATTTTTAAGAAATTGATTCAAATTTAATCATTATTGTTAACATTTCATTAGATTTCAAAAGTAATAATTTAACGATAACTATAAAATTTAAACTGGTTTTATGAAAATATAAATTTGGAGTAGCAAATTATATCAAAAATTTTTTAAATGATAAATTACTTTGACACAATATTTTTGAAAGACAATTTAACTATTTAACTTAAGAGAAATTAACATTTTACAATTTTTTTAAAAATTAAATATTAATTAATAAAATAAACAATAAATTTCGTTATTAGCTAACCTATAATACAATTCCATGATATTTAATTAGAGCATCGCTTGTGTGGTGCTGAACTGGGTCAGCTTTCTAAATTGACACCAATGCACCAGCTCTCTGATGTGGAGTTTTGTGGGACCCACCAAAGTCCAATTGTGAAGAAAGTAAAAAGGAGTTGGATGTCTGACCGTCTAATAGTTAACGGTCAACCAACTGTCTGTTACCACAAAATTTGACGGAACTTGGCAGGAGGGCGGCATTAATACTTTTAAATGGTAAAATATCTAAATCCATCTTCAAAGTATAGTAGTAGGGACGGATCTACTCTCGAATAAAAAATAAACATAAATTTATTCATAAAGTCTTTTATTTGAACAAATTATTTCAAATTTAACATGTAATATCATTTAATATTAGTAATTCGTTAATTTAACATCATTTGACGTCAACAATCTATTATTAATGACATAATAAATTAACGAATTGTTAACATCAGATAATGCCATACGTAAAATTTGGAGTGATTTATTAAAGTCAAAAATTTTATAGATAGATTTGTCTCTATTTTTTGTTTAGGAATGGATTCGTCTTTACTACTATATTTTAAGGGTAAGTTTAGGAATTCTGCCTTTGTAAATAGTAGAGAGAGGACATACATAGTTAATTAATAATAGAGGGAGGACATGAGGTGAATTGAAAGTAGAAGGTTTAAATTAAACCTTTTTTTATAGTAGAGGGACGAGAGTGGGCATTAACCCCAATGCTTCTCAGGCGAAAAAGAAAGAAAAAAAAAAAACCATGAAATACAAGGAAATACAAGTAGACAACAGAATGAATTGAGTCCGCACTGGCACCGCATGCCTAGCTCTATATAAGGGAAACGTTGATCCACCAGATACATTCACCACAACACACTCTTTGCCATAGCCTTCAATTCCCAAGTAATTCTCTTTTCTCCAAACTGCTGAAGCTAATTCGATGGCACAGCTGACCTTATTAGTGGTTTAGTATTTTGGGAGATTATAAAAACTGACATCGCCTGCATGCATCTTTCTGCCCTATACTCTCAAACTCCCTGAAATCGCTTTCAACCTCTATCCAAAAGATCTCAGGAGAAAAAAAAAAAAACCAACTAAATACATTTTCATTGGTTTCTCAATTCCCAGGCATTGAAAAAGCCATCTCCAGTCCGAACCAGCAGGTATGTTTTACTTTTCTGTTCATTGTACGTTTTATGAATTTACTTCTTAGATATATTGCAGTGATTTTATTCGAAGTGTGGGATATGAAAATAGGAAAGGAGAGATCGAGTGCAGAAGCAACAAGCAATTGTCATTATGCAAAGAACTTAAGTGCACATATGAGGGTAGTTACAAAATTATCTCAACAGTTATTCAATACAAACAAACTTAATTAAACTGTTATAAACTTAAAAGCACTTCAAACAAAATTAATTTGAAAATATAAACTAATTCAAACTATAACTTTGATGGCGTGCATACCTAAAACACTTCCAACAAACTCCTCCTTGGCAACAAAGTTGCAAGCTCCAAGTTGGTCTCTAAGTTCTTCAAACCTTTTCTTTTGCAAAGGTTTGGTGAAAAAACCTGCTAACTAATCTTCCAAGCTACAACATATAATGTGCACCTTTTTTCTCTTTTTAGCGAGTCTTAAAACTCCACAAACACAACAAAAAACTTTTTGATACTTGTTTCAAGAAATAAACTCAGCACGTATATTTTATTAGAGTCATCAATAAACAATAAAAAAAATTTGTTATCATTTAATGATGAGGTCTCCACTGAAACCACGAAAACAAAATGAACTAAATAGAGTATTTCTTTTAGCTCTCCACTCCCTGTTCACTACAAAAGAAAAGAAAGCTTACTAAACTTTCCCTTTTGACAAACACCATATATACCTTTAAACTCATAAATCACAAGTATATCTACAATCATATTTTTGTTTTGCAACAACTTCAATGAAACGTAAGTATGATGACCAAACCTGGTATGTCATTCTCTTGGATTCATTCACAATAGTAGCACATGCTTTAATTTTAGATTGGTTTCAATCAACATAAAAATTTTTATAATTTATACTAATAATAAATAATTTGACACAAAGTTTATCTATAACATTCACACATTCCTCATGAAAAAACACTGAATAGTCATTCTCTGTAATAGCTGAACAACACTAATAAAGTTTAATTTGGCTCAAGTTAGGTACGTAAAAAACATCATAACTGTACCTGACATTTGTTGGTGTTTCAATAGCAATGGTCCTTTTTCCTTTCACCTCAACAAGCTCTCCATTTCCAAGTCTAACCTTTGAGGAGTAGGATCTATGAAGAGTCTTGAAAATGACCAAAACTGAGGTCATATGATGAGTGCATCCATTATCAATGGATTAAGAATTTGAACCCAAGAACACTGATGAATAGCTCACAACCACAACAGCCAAAAACAACTCTTCTTCCTCTTGATCCACATTCTCAACAACTTGAGCCTTTTGGTATTGATTTGCCTTAGCTTTGCAAACCTTTTCAACATGGTCGAATTGCTTACAAGACTTGCACTTGACACCAAGCCTAAACTAGCAATAACTTGCTATATGAGTCCTCTTTCCACAGTGAGGACATTGAGGATAAGGCTCTTTTTTGCCACTATAATTGCCGCTTTGTTCGTCCTTCTGAAAGTCTCTTTCTTCCTTTCCATTTTTGTCAAAAATTGCATTTGTTCACCATCCTCTTTGAACAGACCCTTTACTCTTTCATTTGCAATTAAATCACCTTCAATAGCACCTTTAGCAAAAGTTACTTGCCTTATTGCTTTGTTTAACAGCTTGAAGTGCATTTACATGTTCGGAAAGTGTCATATGTGTCATGTCTTTTGAGTCTTCTAGAAAAGAAATTTTATGCCAAACTTTCTTTGATAAACTCACAAGAATCTTATCTACAATCTTCTCTGTAAGTTATTCACCAAGTATTTTGATATGATTTACCACGTCCATAACCTTATCAAAAAATTCTTTCACAATCTCTGTTTCAAAAAATCAAAGAGTTCTTTGCTGCATTTTAAACTCTGCTTTTCTTGTCAAAGAGGTTTAGCATTTTAAGTGATTATAAAAACTCTCATATAGCTTGCCTGCATGTTTTTGCCTTATTCTCTTAAAACTTCCCTAAAAGGCTAAAATGCTTACAAGATTTTCCTAAAAAATCTCAGTTTAAAAAAATCAACAATCCAACTAAAATACATTTTCATTGCTTTCTCAATTCTCAGGCATTGAGAAAACCATTTCAAGGCTGAACCTGCAAGTATGTATTATTTTTCCGTTTGTTAAGATTGTAGCTGTCTAGAATTGGCGAATTAGGAAGTTAAATCTATGTACTATCATGAAAGAAAAAGAAAGTCTGCTCTGTGGGTCTCATATTCCTGTGGTAGACATGGCTATGTATTGTTGAGAGGTTAGCCACGTTGCAGATAAAGATTTTAACTGACACAACGACATTTTGAAAGAATATGTCACAAAAAATGGTGCGTTATTGTGCTCGTAACCATATATGAACATCGAACATAAAAATAAAAATAAAAAACCCAACCCCAAACAAACCTAAAGCAATTAATTACATTGGGGGTGGGAGAAAGGGGGGTAGTGACTTTAGCACCGGCCTATCTAGGATTGCATAAATATTAAAAGGTATTTCTAATTTGTATTATTATAATATAAGTTTAGAGATATAATAATTATATATTTTTATTATAAATTTATATTATAAAAAATAAAAATTAATTTTTAATTAATTAATTAATTAATTAAATTTATTTAATTAACATCTATATTTATAATTTTTTTTAAATATTTATTATTAAAAAATCCTTAATTATCGAGACAATTTAAAAAAATCATTAAATTAATTTTAAGAAAGCACGTGAAAAATAGTCGTATAGACTATAGCGTCATGGACTATGGGCTTGGGCATTGGTTGGATTGGAACACAACCGTAGTGGATCTATCGATGTGTCTCATGGCTGGTAACCATTAATCTCAAACAATTACACTAAATGTATCGATGTGTCTCATGGCTGGTAACCATTAATCTCAAACAATTACACTAAATGAGTCGTATGACTCATAATGCCTATTGATAGGAAAATTTTACAAGACAAAGCCTCATGCAATTGTAAGAGGTGGGTCTTGATCATTCAACAGAGGAGATTTTTCACATGTCAATTACTGACATAACATCCTAATTGCCAAAGATATATACTGCCTCCTATATCTTAATCTAGCTGTTTTTATTATTATATTATTATTATTATTATTATACACTTAAAAAATTATTAAATTTCATAAAAATACAATTATTATAAGTTAAAATTTCATATTTACTCTTGATGGGACCCAATTAATTATTGAAAAGGTTGAAAATAATTATTAAA